CGACGATTGAATACGGCACGTTTGGACCTTTGTCCCGTCAATAAATCCGTAGACGTTACGTAGCGGCGAGCCCTTTCGAGCAACAGCGTCGCAATATCTATAAATATCAATTATAAGTAATTAAAAATGATTTTAGCAACCCAATATTTTACTACATCACGTTACTAGTATGTCGAATTACCTTTGGATATTTTTTGCTACAAGTCTCAAATTGAAGTAGAGTAGGTTTCCCCATATCTCGTACAACAAGTTAATGGCGTGGAGGAAGACATCACAAATAGACGAGCGGGATCGTCCAAATGTTTTGGACATCCCGTGCAACCTTGTTGGAAATCCCATCCGACCGAGGACAATACACATTGCTTCGTCACGCAAAGCACGGCTCCGGTTTTCGGTTACCACCACCGCTGGTAGGCCGAGGTAGTAGCCGAGTTTGCGGATGCCCACGACGTCAAAGCGGTAGTCGAGCACTGCGTTAGCATCCGTCGTGTCGTCCAGGTTGAAACGGACTTCGGGGATCAGTGGCTGTTCGACGTGTTGTGTGGCCAGCAGGGCAAGGACGAATTGGCGTTGACGAACGGTCTTAGCCAGCGGCAGAAGCATGACGCCGTCTGTCTGCGTGATTGGCATGAGTCGGCGTCCTTCGGTGGCGATGGTGAGATCACAGTGTATCCGGAATAACTTACCGGATGAATGTATGGATGGTGACTGGAATTGTGCTAAATCAAATATATTATATTCCAGACCGTATCCATAAGGCGGTTGTTGTCAAAAATGTGCGGAATGGATGCGGTCTGGAAAAGTTGCTAAACCTCTCTATTGTTATCAGAATGTCTGTAAGATGTCATGTCGATATCGAAAGTTGCTTGCCATGCATCTAGATTCGTAGAAGTCGCTACGCTGCTCCATGCGTATCCAGTCGAGTCGACGTCGAAGTTGCGGGGTGGCTTAGGGGGTAGCCAGACTGAATAGATGGAAATGTGGAACTTGATGTTTTCGCCTTGCAACTAAGCCCTGCTTGTTCATGATGGCAGCCAAATAGTGCAGTGGGGATGTTCTCTAACAGAACAGGGTGTTCTGACTGCCTCCCAACAGCGCCACGCACTGTCAACCGTAATCAGGTGCCCAGAGTGCAGCAAGAGGCTGGCGGTTAAGCTCAGTGAGCGTAACCACCACTGGTTACACCGTCGTCTATCCGGGACTCAACTCGTCGGACATCCCTTTCAGCAGGTCCCTACCAATTGGCCCTTACCGAACGACATGCCGTGGAAGGGTCGGATGGATCGAGTAACCACCGGGATGCCGTCACCCCCCGATGTCGAGCCAACATGCTTCAGGGCGTCCCCCTGGCACGTCGACTCAGTCACGGGCTGAGAGGCCGGAGTTCGTGTTCCCTGGCTTTCGCCTGAGGGTGCTGAAGGACGACAGTAGTCCCACCCGTTAGTTGACTACGCAGAGCGCAGAACATTGTGCCATCTTGGGTATTGATATCCGCGACCTGGGGTCGTGTATCGGTGGAAACAAGACATAAGTCTATTGTTCGATGAGGTGGT